CTTAGACTACAAAGTTAGAGTCACGAAATAGACAATCAAGCCCGACCCCCAGTGATATCTTTGTACAGATAAGTCTTTGCCGACTGTTATAATATTGGATTTCTTGAAATATTAAATACTCGCAATACAAAAATATACAAGCGTTTCATCAAACGCTTGTATATTTTCAGACAGAGGATCAAAGTCAGGACATCTGACTTTGAATCCTGGTAGGTCAAATTTAGAAACTAACATATTTTCTATAATTGGTGCGAGTGTTCTGGGTGCCCTTGTAGTTACTTTTGTTAATTTAATATTCAAAGTACAGGGGATCACCTAATTGGAGACATTAATTATACTACAGAATGTTGTAAATAAAGTTCAAAATTACTAATTAATGTGTTGATTAAACATTGAGCACAGTATACATACATTACAGGTAAATAGGAATTGTCAACTTCTAGCTCAGGGTGAAGTGCACGGTGGCAGTGCCCTTTACATCTCTGCGAATTAAGGCTCTGAGTGGCACTATAATTGCTATGGAAAGGCGTGTTCGCTTACCATGGGGCAAACAACATGTTCGTCCCGTCATTTGGTACCACAAAAAAATCGCGAATTAATTTTGACTAATATTAAATAAAGAAAATAAAATGTAGTTGTTACGTTTAGGCAACGGACGCTGGTTCGTATCAACAGTAATAACATATATAGTAAAAATATTTGACATATTTATATATCGCATTTGGCAACTAACAATTATATAATTAATACAACAATAATTGAATATCAATTCAATAAAAATTTAAAGTAACATAGTATTGTCTATTTAGTTTCAAAGCGACAGTGTTGTCCTGTTACTTTGAAATTAAATCGTATATGAATAACACATCAATATAGCGAAATTTTGGAGATCAATTATTAATATACCGCAATTTTGAGATAATACTATGTTACTTGTCAAGTGCGATATACTTACATATATATAGTTCATTGTAAAAGTTTAGGGCAGCGGACAGTCATGGATTTCCATATATACTTTGCATGCCTTGGCTGGAAAGAAGTCGCATGCTCCATAAATGACAAACTCTCCGTGTTCGTTTTTTAAAAGTAATGCAAACATTTTCGAGCCTGTTTGAGAAAATATTATTAATATTTATTAGACAACTTAATTAAACAAAGTTAACCTCTGACAGAAAAAAGTTTGTGCAAAGAACACATCGATAATATACATAGAGTCGATCAACTCATCCAGTCGAGAAATTGTTTATTTTATATATTATATAATATATATATATGTATAATTATAATATATTATTTTTAATGTATTGCTTGTTTTGACTTAGTTTGTGTTATTTTCGGCTAAAATGTGAATTTCTGGTGAATTTTGGTATACAAGGTTATTAAAATTTGTAAAACACTAATAATCTCGAGGATCTATATTGCTAATATCATAAAGGAGAACTTTTTTCTAACATAATAAATTTACCAAAAATGAACGTTCATGTTTTTGTTGTTCTCTCGGACACTTTTCAAGTCTGTATTTGGTAGTAAGGTTCAAAGGTGCAACCTCTTCGTTTTGCATCGGACTGGTATTCATGCTATTGCTTTCTTTTGTTATTACACAGTTATTATCGTGAAGAGCGATCTATTTAATAGTACATTGCGTATTAAGGACACGGTAATTAAGAAATTACCAACTAGGGTCTATTAGAAGTCCGTGATAATTACAATGTTTTTCATCACATTTGTGAGAAAATAAATACAATGATGGCCTCCGTGGTCGAGTGAGATTGAGATTTCCATAACACAAGTTCTTTAGCTACTTACTTTGGGATCAGAGCAACGTATGTGATGTTGTCTAATATATATTTAAAAAGAAAGAAAATACAATGTTTCCTTCTTGTATGAATAAATATGATTCACAATCATTGACTTACAAATAAATGGACGACGGGTCTAATACAAAAACCACGAAAAAAATGTCCCAAGTCAACCTATTCGAAATTTAAATTGTAATGTCATCGCAGTATCGCGCTGTCAGTAGAACAAATGAAGACTAAAGCGGAGTTTGGCGCTCTGTATACGATTTTAGCGCCTTACAAGTGCGGACACTTTTTAGCGCGGACCCGACGTCCATATAATTGTAAGTCAATGTTCACAATACAATAATTATGAAGTCTACAAAAAAAAAAATTTGGTAAATAATTATACAAAAAATAATTTAAATAAATTATAAGAAATTCTTAAAAATAAGTATAGAAGTAGTAGGTATGTGGCTGAATTGCAATAAAATTTCTATTTAGATAACATTTTAAGCGAATGTTTTATTTTTAAACATAAGTAACCTCCTTGTTTGAACTTGAACCTGGCATATTTAAAGAAGTATGTCGTGCTACTAATTAAAAAGAAATTCCTTACCGGCTATGGCTGTAAAAGGAAGAAAAAGGTCCGCGGTTTTTAATTGGGGCAATATAGTCAAGTTTGGCTAATTTGACTCTAATGCCCCGAATAAAATGCCCATGCAATCATAATATTTTAAAGAAAGAGTGATGAAAATATTTTTATTTTTGTACGAAAGTAAAATCTGACGAATTTTAAAAGACATGTAAGTAAAAGTTGTTGTTTATGATGTTAGTAATAACGTGCGCACACGGTAAAAACAGATTACTTAGAAAAAGACAAAATTCTTTTTATGAAGACAAATTTATTAAATCCAACAAAACGCTCCTCTCCCTATAGACGCTAGAGAATAATTACTTGATAATAGTAAAACAACGTCTCAAAAGTGTATTTTAGTTATAAGACAGAAATATTTAATCCAAGAGCAAATTAATTTAATTCAAGTCACAAAGCTACTCTAGATTAAACAAAATATTTATTAATTATTATATATAAATGTCCGACTTTGACTTGAAAAAAAAAAAATGAAAAATTGAAGTGTACTTAGTTATTTGACTGAAGATTTATATTTTCTAATATCAAAAAGCGTAAATTTACAGGGTTATGGACCTAACAGTATAGTGCCAAACCTTAAAGTAGCAGAAATAGGACGGAATCTTCTCAATTACTTGAGTATCATTCAGTGCCATATAAAGCTACAGCGGCAGAACACACTAACAATTTAAAATATATGAGACGACTATATACCATTGAAGTTAACAAAACGATAGCGCGTTTCTAAGTACAACTAATGCCATCTAGCAGTGGCGCGATGGAACTAATTGCATGTTAAAGTTGTACCTACTTGTTACAAATGTAGTTTGATTTCATGCTGAAACCAAATTTCTTAAATTATGACTACAAATAACACACTAACAAAAGAGAGATACTACGTATTGTTTCTTTGGATAAATGACTGTTTATGATTTTTATGATTACAAGCACAAGTAATGAAAACGCAACGAAATGTTGCTTTAAAAATATACTCTAGAATTTAGAATATTAATCTGAATAGAAAACTACTTCTGTTTTTGTTGAAGAATATATTTTCTTATTCAAAATTTCTTGGGTGTATACCAAGAAATTTTGAATTCATTTAAGATTATTTAAATTTGATGTAAGAGGTAAAAATTTCTTGATGAATGATGAAATCTTCAATTAATTGATTAGAAATGAAATAAAATCTTGAAGTGAAGGTATTTGTCTAAAAGTTAGAATAAAGTTAAGAGTAAAATTGTATTAGAAAAAGATAAGCAGTATTTTTGTAACGATAATATTTTAGTACTTTTAATAAACATTTTTTCAGAATTAGCAAATATTTTGAGAAATTGCTCTTTTTTATTAGTAGAATTCCTTTTTTCTGTGCACCATTTCACCATTTCATCGTGGGGTGGATATTCGATTTGACATTGTTTTGTGTGCAGTTAGTACATTCAGGAAGAAATTAATTTTATTCAGTTTAATATTGTAGAATTTCGTAAATAATTAGTCTCAGTTTCAATACTACTATAATATAATTTCGTTATTTCATTACACGATCTAGGTTACCTAGAAAAATGCCCGTAGGTATAAGTATAAAAACAAACCCGTCAGAATGCCTGATTGTTAATATGGACGGCAAACAATGACGTTCCGTTCTTTAGAGAAATCCATTCAAAAGCGTTTTATTGCGAAAATTCCGTCGTTGAAATGAATCTTTATTCCTTTGGTTTTGCTAAATTCAAGTAATTTAAAGCGATTTTGATTTTAAAAAGTTTAGATCCGCTGACTGGTAAATGTAGGCTTTAATTATTATTATCTCTGCTTAACGTATATTTTACTTTTGTTTACTCAATCGAGTCAAATCAAAACTCTGCAAGTTCCAGTATAGTGTTTTGTAATTTCATTGCAACAAGAATCTTTCAGCTGTTTCCAAGGTAAAATATTTTATTTCGTTTTTCAATAGAAACTTTATTTTGCAAAGTAAAATTATAATGGCCGTTGTACAAGGTAAGTTAAATATATCTTTATATGTTATAAATAAACCTCAAAAATGAGAAAAAAAAACTGAAAAATCTGTTTCTCTCATTATCCTATTTGTGATATTTCAGGGTTTGATACACGGACAAATTCTATTCACCCAGTTCGAAATTTGAAAAGTATTACAGTGCTTTTAGATTGAAAGCTGATATCAAATTTCCATTTTGTGGTGCAGCGGAAACGTGATATATCCGCACTGTATTACGTTACAGTGTGCAACATGTCATAGCACTCAATTCATGTGTTCGGAAATGAATATGAAGGAGAACAAAATCTGGACATTTCGTCAGATACTACAGAAGTTGGTTATTAGCATTGATAGGAAAAGAAAGTATGCCTATTCCGATCTGTTTCCCTAAACAATAAGTAACAAACACTTAATGATTAATACCGATAAATATCAAACACAAAGGAAAATTCCTTCTATGGCATATATCTGGCAGGACTCGAACCTGCGTTGATATGCCAAACTAGGGCTACCGCTCTACCAACAGATGTACAGATCCAGTCAGCAAACTTTACGAAGTTCTCTAAGTGTTGCAGTAGACCTCCTTGTAAAAGAAAAGAGTCCGTCCAGGGAAGTACTGCCACGTTACTTATTCCTGCCGCCAAGCTGTAATGTGTTCATTACTGCGTTCCGGTTTTGAAGGGTGCTGGTGAAATTACGGGTACATGGGACTTGTCAACTTTATTTATTACAAATTGTCAACTGGGTGACGGGCGCAGTGGCAGTGCCCGTCAGATCTTTGTGATTTAAAGCTCTGAGTGGCACTGCAATTGTTATCCACAGGCGTGTCGCTTACCACCAGGCTCACGATTTGTTGGTACTGTGACTAGGCATTACAAAAAAATCCACAGGATTGCAAAATGGGTGTTATTTAGAGTTGCCTTTTTTCGTTTAAAAAAAATTACGACGAAATTTGTAACAAGTGTGGAATTACACCAAATTTCGTATTCGCCGTTTCTGCCCATGATCTGCAGAAATGGGTTAAAACTCTTCAGATTTTTGTGATTTGGCGCTCAGAGTGGCACTGTAACTGTTATAGTTATTACCAACTGGCGCATCACTAATTCGTCCCTTCACTTGGCACCATAAAAAAAAGAAAGAAAGGTAGCGGGCAGCGTTCGGACAGTTTGTATTTTTTTTGTAGATTTTACGAGAAAAAAAAAATCTTCTTCACCACCGAATTTTAATTTTAATTGATAAAATCCACAAAAATGCGACCCCAGTGTATTAATAGAGTAATAAACAGAAGTCTATTTTAATTATACGAATATTGTGCTCAGAGGTTTCAGGTTAATCTAAAATTAACCTTTGAATTCGTGCGGTATCACGCACCAGTATCGTAAATAACGGTATATTTACCTAAAGGTCAAGGAAGTACAATTCTAGATAATACCTCAATCTCAAATTCGTAAGCTACTCGTATTATATTCATTTTTATTGAATATTTTCTTATCATGACATTAATTTACTTTTTGTGAAATTACTCCACCAGTATTGTTATTTTCCTTACAGTGAACCAGCGTCTCAGGAGCTGAGAACATAATAGTACCTAGTGGGTAGTGGGTTAACCGGATTTTTACTCAAAGCTCCGTGTTTTGCGGAG